CACGAGGTCAATTGTTCCCCAGGGCTGAGCACCTCTCAGTATAATTTTCCCTAGTTGTGACTCTCTCCTTTGACAAAACTGCCCCTAAGTGCACTCTGCCCAAAGACAGACACACAACTGAGAGATGATAAATAAACATGTTACAAACTACTCAAGAGAACAATTTATACATGGTATTTGCTCCCCATTGAGATGAGATGTGACACAAGGTTTTTTTAAGTTGGGGACCCGAGTGGGAACACCCAGGCAAGGAACAAAAATTGCTCACAGCCCCTGCAACCGCCAGTTGCACTGGCTTCGGTGCGAGCACCAATCCCTCTCTTTGATGCCATGAGAGTGTGCAGCCTCGGGCAACTGTTTCCCAGGGCTGGGCACCTCTCAGTATAATTTTCCACAGTTGCCACTCTGTCCTTTGACAGAGTAGCCCCTGAGCACACTATGCCCAAGGGCAGAGATGCAACTGAGAGAACAATTTACAAACTAAAAACTCAATATTTGCATTATATATTATCTACTTTATGTTTATTCATTAGTTGGAAATACAATAAATTAAGATTTTGTATGTGTACAAATATTTGTTTCCAACCACTGTACATATACTTGTGTATATGCGTGCACACATCCACAATGAATATATTCACTTAAGAAATTAAGATTAAAGGAAAAAAGTTTTGGAATGTTGTTGTTTCATATTTTTTTTTTTCTTTTTAATTTATTTTAACTTGCTTTTTTGAATTTCCGTTTTCTTTTTTTTTTTTTTTTTTTTTTTTTTTTTTTTTTTTTTTTTTTTTTTTTTTTTGAATTTTCATTTTTTTTTAATTTCCTTTTTACTTTTTGAATTTTCTTTTTTTTGAATTAATTTTTTTATTTTTTTATTTTTATTACTTTTTTAATGACATTATTTGATAGAATCAAATCATAATTAATCTATTTTTTAATCATGGACCACAACTTAGCAATTTTGATAATTAACAGACACTCTCACCTCTCCCAACAAACCTGAAAAACGACCTTATTTAAGAACTTGTTCCACGTAGTCAGCTTTAGTCAGTCACTGGCTTAAATTTTCAAATCTGTCCACTGGATCAGGGCAAAAACAGAATTTAAAATTTTTGTTTGTTTTAAACTATCAGAAAAAAATAAAAAAAATAAAAGGAAAAATTATGACAGTGAGACAGTCATTGACAACCCCCACCTCTATCTCCTCCCCCCCCCCTAGGCAAGTCAGTCTTTAGCTTTTAATAGAGAGATGTTATTGATATCAAAATCGCGATAGTTTTATACTCTGCTATGCATCAACCTGTTTATTTCCAGAGTCTCTTTCTATCATTACATTATTGATTTCTCTTCTCTCCATACTTTTGCTCTCTCTCTCTCGCCTGACAGGTGAGGATTCTGGGGCCAGGGGTGGGGGCACTGCCTCTCACACTGCCAGCTGCTGCTGCTGTTTCTTTTGACGTGGCAAATTACAGACCCGTTTCAAAATCAATATTTCTTGTTAGATGAAATACTTAAGCATTCAGAAAATACCCCATACCCCCCACCCCCCCACCGGCATACACATGAATTATATCCCCTGCTGCCCAATGACCTGCCTTTACTGTGGCATGAGACGTATTGGTCCGTTGTGATTATTATTGGGATAATGCCAACAATTATAGGCCGAGGTTTACATGTCTGTGAACTAAATTGTGTATTTGAATTGTGAATCTCTCTCTTTCTCCTTCTCCCTCTCCCATCTCCTTCTCCCTCTCCCATCTCCTTCTCCCTCTCCCATCTCCTTCTCCCTCTCCCATCTCCTTCTCCCTCTCCCATCTCCTTCTCCCTCTCCCATCTCCTTCTCCCTCTCCCATCTCCTCCTTCCCCTCTCCCCTCTCCCATCTCCTCTCCCTCCCCATCTCCTTCTCCCTCTCCCATCTCCTTCTCCCTCTCCCATCTCCTTCTCCCTCTCCCATCTCCTTCTCCCTCTCCCATCTCCTTCTCCTCTCCCATCTCCTTCTCCCTCTCCCATCTCCTTCTCCTTCTCCCCCTTCTCCTTCTCCCTCTCCATCCTTCTCCTCTCCTCCCTCTCCCATCTCCTTCTCCCATCTCCTTCTCCCTCTCCTGCCTCTTCTCTCTTCCCCTCCCTCATCTCCTCCATCTTCTCTCTCCCACCTCTTTTAATCTTTCTAAAACTTCAAGTCTATTAAAGATGACCACTAAGCTTGATGTCAAGTCCTTTTTTTTATTTACAGAACCACATTAGTGTATCAAAAGTGTTTTCATTTTTTTTTTTTTTTTTACAGACCTTTATTTATATATAAATACTATATGTATTTTCCTTGTTGGTGTAAAATGACCCATCAGGGTTGATATGTTGTCAAACAAAACCTCACTGATCACTCTGTATTCATGTACTGGGTTGTCAAAGAAAAGACAATATCCATGCTCAGTTGTCTCTCTTGATTTTGTTTTGACGCCCCCCCAAAAAAAAAAACTAAGCCCATGCTCCACTGTGTCTCTGGACCCCATTCTGCTCCCCTAACTCTGTGATCCACATTGTCTCTGGATTCCACCTCATCTGTTTCATTAATCCTAACCAAAATTGTTTTTCATATGTCATTTTTTAACTGTACAAAATAATCAGATATATTCAATTTAAAAAGCCTTTCTTTACTTTTGGAACATCATATAAATGTCACTTGTAGTTAAAAAAAGGATTCGTTTGTGAGATTATTGACATTAAACACTGAATGACAGCAGGAGATTTTTCGATTAATACCACCCTAACATTCTCAAAGGCAATACATCAACCTGAAAAATTGAGTAATGTTCTAAAATAGCCTCATCAGATCGAGACTTTCATATGGATGTCATTCATGGTGCCAAATCAGTTCAGAAATATTTAAGATGAATGGTTAAAAATGGTCTTGAGCAAGTGAATGTTTGGATATTAGTGAAGACCATCTTTCATTGAACTTTACAGACTGGTGATACAGAATCCCAAACAAAAGAAACCACATCACTTGAGGACCAGCTGAAATGGAGAAAATAATGTCATAAGCAAGATGCTGACTTTCTATACTATTTCAGATAAAAGGTTAGGAAGGAAGCCCCCCCCCCAATCAATAATGGAAAGAGCACTAACAGCTACTGGACTTGAGAAACCTGAAAAATTGTTTTTAAGAGAAAGATTTTATAAATTTCAACTGAAAGCAGTACTGGCTGCTCAGTTAATGAATGTTAAATGTTTCTTTATAAGTAAAGAGCTGAGATTGCCATTAGCATTAGAGGTGGGGAGAACAGATACTACACTCTGATCATAGTCTCATGGCCAGGGAATGAAAAAAAGTGGAACTAGGGTCGCACTGACTGCTCAGTCAATGAATGCCAAATGTTTCCATATAAGTAAATGGCTAATTAGTATTAGAGATGTGGAGAACAGTTACTACACTCTGATCCCAGACTCTTGATAAGGGAATGAAGGAAAGTGGAACTTGAGTAGCACTGACATCTTGGTCAATGAATACCAAATGTTTCCTTTTAAGGAAACTGCTAATATTACCATTACCATGTTCTGGCTGTGATCATTGTGTTTTGCAAGACAACTCTACCTGATGCTATTTGGTTGTTTAAGAAGAATTTAAAAGTAACTGAGACTTAGTGACTGAAATACCTTTGACAAGGTTTCTTTTTTTTCTTCTTTCTTTTTTTTTTTCTTTCTTTCTCCCCCCCCCACTTTTTGTTGACTGTTTTATAATTTGTTAATTACACTAGGAATGCTAATAATGACACTTTCTACTTTTTCTTTCAGTGAACACCAATTCCAATCACAAGAGAATAGCATACGTCGAACAATGTTTTGGTGCTGCAGGACAAGTAAGTAAGCCTTAGTCCAAAGGAATTGTATACATGCCCGAGTGCAACATATATCTTTGTATAAGCTTTACAATATCTGCTTTGGTTCTGTTCCAATTCTGATCATTGCTTTTTAAAGCAATAAACATTGCCAAAGAGTGAAGAGAGTTAAAAAAAAGAAAAAAAAAAGGCCATATCATGGTTAAAAGCCATCCTTTTGACACTATGTTTTATTGTGGGCAAATAAGTTAATGTTTGTCAAATAATAATTGCTTGAGATAGATATTGAGCACTTTATTAGCAGAAATTCTGTTCACCTTAAATGGTATAATTTTATGTATACCACTAAGTGGTATTACTACTGTTTATAGTATGTATGCGTGTGTTAGGTACCTTCATGAGATCGCTAAAAACAGAGCATAGCAGGATGAAAAAGATGCCAAACTTGACAAAAACAAAATTTTATCATCTAAATGTTTGTTATTATTAAGAGGAAAGATCATAGTATTTTGGGGGTATTTTTTTACATTTTTTAATCGTTCCTAGCACGTCTGAAATTTTTTTAAAAATCTTGTTTTTCTGGGGGGTTTTTTGGGGGGTATTTTTGAGTCAGCAAAATTGACCATTTTTTTCCATTTTAATAAAAAAACTGGAAATCTCAATTTGAAATTCTTTTAAATATCAATTATCATTTTTTCAAAACTTATTTTAAGAAAATCAGAAATTATAATGTTTATTTAAAATATTTTGATCAAAGCTTAGCTTCTGCGCCAAAAAGATGTAATTTGAAAATAAAACAAAGCAAATCATAAACTTTCGCATCACTTGACAGGTGTTATTTTACTAGTTCCGGTGATAAAAAGAGAAACAAGGTTTTTTTAATCAAAATTTAGAATGTTCTAAAAAGAAGAAAAAAATTTTTAAAAAATAATTAAAATAAACTTTGATCTTTCCTCTTAATGATATCATAAGCATTTAGACGATAAAATTTTGTTTTCATCAAGTTTGGTGTCTTTTTCATCCTGCTATGCTCTGTTTTTAGCAATCTCATGAAGGTACCTACATACATATATATATATATATATATATATATATATATATATATAAGCAAGTGTAAATGGATATAAATCCGACAGAATGAAGAAATTTTGAAAAAACAAACAAAAATCCTTAAATGTAGTTAAAATGAAAGAAATGTCGACGTCTGACGTTTCGGTTTAATAAACCTTTTTCAAGACAATATTCATCAAAATACAATTCAGTTCAATATGACAAATACGATGGACATAAAAACACAAGTCTTATTCAGAACAGATAACTGAAAATTTTTAAAATATATATATATATATGGATGCATGGCCAAGTGGTTACGGCGTTCACTTTCTGACCATGAGACCCAGGTTCAAATCTCACCACAGTCGATTTGTCAGGAAGGAGACGTCCTGATGTTATCAATTTGGAGGGGGATGATCTCAGCGTGCGGCACCTTTGGAAAGTGCCTAAAAACCACACGACGGGTTGACCGAAGCCTTATGAGTGAAATTGGGTAGACGAAACACTTGGGGACCGTCAATAGCACAAAGTCACAAGTCATCGTGCCCAAGGGTTTGAGTGTGCTGGCCTTGTTCAGATTGTTGATCATGCTAGATAACATGCTCTCTCACCCAAAACTGTAACTAAGGTCTGCTCGGCATAATTGCAGCATAAACCAGAGATGGGCTCTCTGGGTGTTGAACAAACACTAATGTGTCTGAGCGAGCATCTGAATTAGGGATTGGTTCGCTGCCCTAGTAGACTGGTATCCTCGAATATGAGTGGCCGGCTATTTATAGTGATATTCCAAGCGTAGCCTGGATGTAGCACAAGGCCGAAAGTAAGGGGCACCCAGGATTGAACTCACTACTCATTCGTAATTGTTCTAGTGAGACAAGCTTGCTAACCATTACACCACCTCGAGGTGCCCCTGGCCAGATATATGTATAATATATATATATATATATATATATATATATATATATATATAATATATATATATATATATATATATATATATATATATATATATATATATATATATATATATATATATATATATATATATATATATATATATATATATATATATATATATATATATATATATATATATATATATTTTTTTTTTTTTTTTTTAATATATAAAATTAAAATATATCAGACACACTGGGTTGTATATATATATTCCTTCATTTTTATTATTATTTCATTTAGATTCACACTGGGTTGACTAGTTTATTCCTTCATTTTATCATTTCATTTAGAACTGCATCATGAACTGCACTCTGTAGGTAGGTAGACATAGAAATATATGTTTACAAATAACAAATGGAAGACTAGTTATATTTTGAAGTAAAAATGTGAGGGGAAAAATTGTTTTGGTTGGTGTTTGAATGAATTATAGATTTTTATGCTTTTCGTGAATGTCAAATAAATTAAACTTTAAAAATGTGATTATAATATGAGGCCAGGTAAATGCTTTTCTTAAGAATAAGGAAAGTAAAAGTGGGGATATTCTACTTTGAACTTTAACTGAGGGATTTTCATAAATTGGATATGTGGACCTATCACTGTATAATTAGGGCTTAGAACACCTTGTCCGTCCAATGAATAGGGAGATAGATACTAAAAATAAAGAGTATTTGGTGTTTTGCCAAGAATCTAAAAAAATGTTTGGTTAAGAGGAAAAGATATTCTTAACCTATTTAAGTGAATTTATATAGTGAGAGCAAATGAAATAATTGCTTGGAAAATGCATTTTTATAAGATTTTTAATTACAGTTAATCGTTGAGCTTATCTAAATTTTATTGTTCATAGATATTTTTGATGTAATGGAATAACCAGTCACCCCCATGAATAATTACATTATAGGTAGTGAGTACCTATAAAGTCAACTATCCACAAGAGACTTGAGGATGAGTGAGAGACAAAAAATGCAAGCACATCTAACCTTCCAATTAGTGGCACTCACTACTAGATTGTGTGTGTATAACTGTACCATATTTCATATTTGTACTCATTGTGTACAATAAACCTTTCTTCTATTATCCACCTGGTGTTAAGTATTTATTCCATTAGCACGGAATATAACAATTTTTAAAAAATTTATGAATAAAAAAAAAATGTAACTCTTTTAGTATTTATTCATAAAATGGAAAATAAATCTTTATAAATTGGTGAATAAAAAGTTCTGGTTGGTTCATATATTTTTATGATTTTGTAAATTTTTATAAATTTATGAATGAAAGAATTTCTTTTAATTTTTATTTCTTCATAAAATTGTAGATCTTGCATCGTATGAGGGTCAGCTGAAAAGTTCATAGTCTGACCAACTAGTTAGACTAAAAGACATGCAAGTGTACTGTTGTTAAATGAGTTTGTGTTCCTCTGACGTCGGTCATACAACACCAAATGCTTCTTTTTCAATCCACCATTCTTGATTTCCTGCACATGTCACCAATGTAAAAAAATCACTCTGCTTCTCACTGCTTCAGCCCTCTTTTATCATACAAACAACACTGACCAATTAGTGTTCTTTACATTGTCCTTAATTACCCAATCAAATGGCATCCTCTAGTCCGACCAATCAGCACACAACTTGCTATTGGTCAAACCATGCTGAGCTGTACAAAAGCCACCATTACAGAATATACACTTCTGGAATAATCTAAAGTGGGGAGGGGATATTCATACCATTTTCAAGGAACAAAATGTCGCTACTACGTGTCATGTATTGAGGTAAGGAACTTATTTTCCTTTGCAAGCCACTCTGACTCAGTTGCTTCTGCATAATTGTTCACCACATGTACCAGAATATAACAACTTGGTTAGCCTATGAACTTTTCAGCTGACCCTCGGAGTTGATTCAGATATTTTTATAATCTTGTAAAAATAGAATTAATCCTGTAAATAAACAATCTAACAACTAAATAGTGTAACATTTTTGTTATTTAAATTCTAAAGAAACATTGCTGAGGGAGTCATGAAGGTATACAGTAATAGTGAAGCCAAGAGAAAGTCCTTTTGACACCTTTTTTGGGGGGGTGGAGAGTGATGGTCTTACTGATGTTAAGGATTGTAGACAAGAACAGAAAGTTGTGGAAGGCCATTATTACCCATGTCCTGAAGGGACATGGCACAGAGAAGACATCATAAATTATTTTTATTTATTTATTTATTTTTTATGTATCTTTGAACAGAAACTGACCCTACCTGGGCGTGTCCTGGTCGGAGAAGGCGTTTTAACAAAAATGTGCCGCAAGAAGCCGAAGCCGCGTCAATTTTTCCTCTTCAACGACATCCTTGTCTATGGCAACATCATAATCAGTAAGAAACGGGTTAGTAGCTTGATATATTTTTTTTTTTTGACTCCTTATTTTGTGGATGTGTTGTCTGTCTGCCTCAGTCTTTCTTCAAGTCCATTTTTGTTTTTTAAAGCATTTTAATTCAAGTGTGAAATATAGTAAATGTTCCTTCAGTAGTAAGCAAAATGTTTTTATTTCATAATGGTTGGAGAATATTTCAGTTGCTATCTTGTTGTAAGGGTAGGAGTGAGAATGAAACTATCATCAGGAAAGCCTCCAAGTCATAGTCTGTTAAAACTTTGGCTTGAAATTCTTTAAAAGGAATGTAGGCTTATATAGCAGATATACCGAACACTGATTTTGTTGGTTGGCAACAAACTTTGTTCTAGACGAATGGATGAATTGTGATTGGTCACTTAACATTTCTACATGGATGGATGAATTCTGATTGGTCGCTTAACATTTCTACACGAATGGACGAATTCTGATTGGTCGCTTAACATTTCTACACGAATGGATGAATTCTGATTGGTCGCTTAACATTTCTACACGAATGGACGAATTCTGATTGGTCGCTTAACATTTCTACACGAATGGACGAATTCTGATTGGTCGCTTAACATTTCTACACGAATGGACGAATTCTGATTGATCGCTTAGCTATGACTCTCAATTCACCCTGCCTAAGCTTGGATGTATCATGATACTTCCATTGAGTTGAATCATCTTCATTTCTCCTTGTGTTCCAAATTTCACCTCACTGCGATTAGAAGTAGACTATTATATTATCTGGGCCCGACAGACAGCAATTTTATGATTCTTTAGGCAGAAAATATATGAAGGGGATTTTTCAAATTGGCCACTTGTTGTCTACAATTTGGAGGAGGATAAATAAAATAAATAACTTTGGGATCAAGTGCCACTTGACTGGAAGATGGGGGTTCCTGTTGTAGGCAGTGTCATATTTTCAATGTCAGTTATGAGCCCAGCATTGTCAGGTAACATGCCATCAGTTGAGATGTACAAAGGCAGAATTGGAAAGTATCCCTTACCCCACCTGCCTCTTGAAGCCATACCAGGTGAATCCATGAATAAAGTTACCATAATATTAAAAACAAGATTAATATTTTTTTCTTGCTGTGGTTTAACTCCACCTGTTTCCTTGTGACTGTATATCAGGCCTTTCACAATTTTTGTTCATTGTTATAGAATGTAATGGCTCGGTGGGGGTGGTCAGCAATTGGTGAGAATACTTCATGAGCATGGTATTATGACAGTGATGGATTACATTTGGATATAAATGCAAAACAGCCATCAACAGATGGCCACAGGAAATTTGAAGCATTAATATGCTTCCCACACCCTAGTTCCAGAGACAGGTTAAGACCAAACACAGAGAGACAATAAGCCGACAAGTGGCATGCGTTTCCTTGAATGTCTTCTTCCTGCTGCCTCCTAGAATTGATGCTGCCATGTTTATCCCTCTCCTCTAATAAAATAAAGAAGAAAAAGAAACTAGCTTTTGTTGATACTATCTATGCAGTAGTGTTAGGGTTCAGTGATGACACTGAACACAACGTGTTGATACAGAGAATACAAACACAATGTAGGGTGATTTATCCAGTTGGTAAAAAACTGCGTGAGGGTCATGGTTGGATATTTGCATGAGAAGAAAGTTCTAATTGGACAGCTATTTCCCCGACAACTGGAACTTTGTGGAAAAAAACTTATGTGTTATTGCCCCACTGAATATTGCAATGTTGAAATCTTCAAGTTGTTCTCTTTTGTCCTTTAACTTAAAATTGTCATTTCCTATCACCTTCTGTTAATATCACATGCCTCATTCAAGATTGCCATTTTAACAGTAATCTTCCACTTTGGATGACTCTTGAGCCTTGTATTGGTGAACTTTAGTTTGAAAAAAATTCCTGTTGTAAGAATCAAATTTTCATGACAAAAATGTGAATATCTTAGTTTGCTAATAGAAAGTTTATACTAGGCTTGTTTTAGCAATCCCCACCCCCAGGAATTTGTTTTAGCAATTCACCCCACCCACCATGAATTTGTTTTAGCAATTCACCCCACCCGCCATGAATTTGTTTTTTAGCAATTCACCCCACCCCCCCATGAATTTGTTTTAGCAATTCACCCCACCCCCATGAATTTGTTTTAGCAATTCACCCCACCCCCCATGAATTTGTTTTAGCAATTCACCCCACTCCATAAACCAATTTTCCAGAAAATGTTAGGAAGGCAGCCTCCATCCATACAGGAAAGAGCGATAACAGCTACTGGACATGAGAAACCTATTTTTCTGAAAAGGTTAGGAAGGTAGCCTCCATCTATACTGGAAAGAGCGATAACAGCTACTGGACTTGAGAAACCTATTTTCCTGAAAAGGTTAGGAAGGTAGCCTCCATCTATACTGGAAAGAGCGATAACAGCTATTGGATTTGAAAAACCTATTTTCCTGAAAAGGTTACGAAGGTAGCCTCCATCCATACTGGAAAGAGCGATAACAGCTACTGGATTTGAGAAACCTATTTTTGCTGAAAATGTTAGGAAGGCAGCCTCCATCCATACAGGAAAGAGCTATAACAGCTACTGGACATGAGAAACCTATTTTCCTGAAAAGGTTACGAAGGTAGCCTCCATCCATACTGGAAAGAGCGATAACAGCTACTGGATTTGAGTAACCTATTTTCCTGATAAGGTTAGGAAGGTAGCCTCCATCTATACTGGAAAGAGCAATAACAACTATTGGATTTGAGAAACCTATTTTTCTGAAAAGGTTAGGAAGGTAGATTCCAGCTATACTGGAAAGAGCAATAACATCTACTGGTCTTGAGAAATCTATTTTCCTGACAAGGTTAGGAAGGTTTGCTTCCATCCATACTGGAAAGAGCGATAACAGCTACTGGACTTGAGAAACCCATTTTCCTGATAAGGTTAGGAAGGTAGACTCCATCTATACTGGAAAGAGCGATAACAGCTATTGGACTTGAGAAACCTATTTTTCTGAAAAGATTAGGAAGGTAGCTTCCGTCTATACTAGAAAGAGCGACAACTGCTACTCAACTTGAGAGACCCATTTTCCTGAAAAGTGTTTTAAGAGAGATTTTATGAATTTTAACCAAAAACGGTACAAACTGCTCAGTCAATTAATGCCATGAGTTTCCTTGTAGGGAAACGGCTAATATTACTCTTACCATATCTGAGGTGGATGTGAAAATGGTAGTTAATATTTTCTGTATTTCTGACATTTGGAGATTTGCTTGAATGTTTGACAAGTGGGTTGGGACAAGAAATTTTTTGCATAATATGCACACACACACACACACACACATTAACTTGGATGTAGTGATCAATAGCAAAGACAGATTTACAAAGTTTAAAGTTAGGTACAAAGCCATAAGAAGAACAACCATATAAGGTCCCTGAGACTTACAAACCACTGTTTCATTGTAAGTCACCTTTTAAGTTTAGTATAAGGCAGCAGCACCCAGTGAGGGTCAAGCTCTCTTCATTAGTAGTAGTGATTTTTGCAAGACTGGCATGTTACCCACTTTGCCACAGTAAAGAGCCCAGTAATATGTTTTGTATATTCATCAGTTTAATCTGCCATTGTCTTCAGATTTTACATGTTGACAATTGTGCGTCTGTCTGTGTGTCTCTGCCTGATGCAGTCACCATGTCTGTTCCTGTCATGCACTGTCCTTATCAGAGAGATAATTGTTAGAACCTTTGGACCTTTTAATGGTTGAACTCAGACATTTTGAATGTCACGTCACATTCTTATAATCAGGGCTGCTTTGGGGAATTGGGGGAGGGGATGAAGTGATTCGTTCTGTTGAAAAATGGACTCTGCTTTTTGAGAATCATTTCCTTCGCTGGCTGAAATCAAAAATAAATTTGAGATTTAGAAAGAATTAAGGAAGCAAATGCAAATTAAAAACAGATGCAGCATAGATTTGTGTACACACACACACACACACACACACACACACATAAATAAAATGAAATTCAATACCTTGTTTGTATGGCCATTTCTCCCCATAAGAGATTAATCTTCTGGTGTTTATCAACACCAAAAGGTTTGAAGACAAAAAAAAAAAAAAAAAAAAAATTTGTTCATTTTTTTATTTTTATTTTTTGTCTTCAAACCCTTTGGTGTTGATAAAACCTCAGAAGATTAATCTCTTATGGGGAGAAATGGCCATACAAATGGGATACTGAATTTCATTTATGTAATTTATAATATATATATATATATATGCTCTTTAATAAATACATTGAGCTCTCTTTGTGGATCAGCTTTAATATTTTATATTATTAGGATTCACTTAGATTACTTACCCACAGATTTTTACCTATATATATATATATATATATATACACACAGTATTTTCTGCATATAAGACAACCTCTAAATCCCAAAAATACTGTTAAAATTAGGGTTTGTCTTATACTATAATTCTAAAAAAGAGACATTAAATTCTGAGTGAAGTTTGTTGGCAGACTAACCTTGGCCTCAGTCCAATAATGAATAACGTACATGAAAAGATTCATATTATCAAATAAACTGATAATAAAAATAATAAAACCATTTCTACCTTATATATTACTGGCATAACTTCATAATAAATTGCCTATTTGAAGAATAATTCCATATCAATGAAATCAACTTGTATCCATGCAAGTTCAGTTCAGAAAATGTAAACACCAGGTTGTGATTGTGTTCACAGCAATGGAGTGTGCTATTATCGTACATTATCAGCAATATTTTGTGATTGTTGAGGAAGTATAAGTAAATGGCCATTAGTCCACCAGGCTGTTTGTAACTGTCTAGATATAAGAAAAAAGAGAAAGAAGAATAATAATCAGTATTTGCAAGAGTTCATGTGACGAAATGTAAATAAAGCAATGCTTTCCCTTTTAGGCGACATGTGTAGGAAAAATATGATATAGAATCAGTTACTTCGTTTATTTTGAATTTTTAAGGATACAATAAGAAACGATATTTCTAATAACATCGTCTTTATATAATCTTATATTGTCTTCTACTACAAATATAGGATAAATTCATGAAAATTTGCTATATTTTTGATCTTGTCTTATCTAAAGGTCACCTTATATGTGGAAATATACAGTGTGTGTGTGTATATATATATATATATATATATAGTGAACATTGAAGTCAACACTCAGGCAACAGGCTGTTGCATGCTAGATGCAATCATCAGGCCGACCTGACGATTGTGTCTAGCATGAAACACCCTGTCGTCACTGAGTTTTAACTTTAATGTTCACCTTTATATTTATATTTACATAATCCCATAAATATAGCACACCTTAAGACTATATTTCTTATATATATATATATAGATGATGATGATGGGTGACTCTCCTGTCGATTTTGACGTATGAGAATCAGACAGCCTCATTCAGTTTTTATGTGTGTGTCGTATGTGATACTTCAGTCTTGCTAGTGACCTGCATACAAGTCCATGTATTGTGTAACAGCAAGGATCTCTGGACACAGCCCCAGGAATATTTAATCGGTTAATAAGACCAATTTCAAAATTTCTGATGCCATTCTGGTACAAATATCTCCAGCTATTTCTATCCAGGGCAATTTGCTCAAAGTTAGTATGAGGCACATTGACAACTGAGAGATTATTCTTTAGCCTTTATACCTGAAACACAGCCGTCCAACAGTATCCTTTGCCCACTGTGAAGCTGGATATACATGAGGACCTTAGGTATTCTGGCATCACTCATCCTTGTAACATGACCAACCCAGCAAAGTTGTGACTGCATTAAGAATGTCTCAATTCTACCAATGTTGCATTTTGCAAGAATATCAACATTGAACACCCTATTGTCAAAAGTATAGCCACAAATTGCACGGCGACAACTTTTGTGGAAGACATCCAGCGGATTGTTATTGAACCTATACAGGGTCCATGATTCAGAGCTGTACAACAGTGTGGGCAAAACAACTGGTCTATAAATGTCTATTTTGGTGTCCAATTTGATGCCTTTCTCATTCCATAGGTGATGACAAAGCTTCTCAGATGCACTTGAAGCATTGGTGATCCGATTTATTTTGTCATCAAGGAATGCATTTGCATTCATCTTGCTTCCTAAATGTGTAAATGGCTTCACAAACTTCATTCTTCCTATAACATTTAAAATAAATTTGTGTACAGACACACACACACACAAATGTATGATTTCACCTCTTCTCCCCCAGCTTTGGGTTAATTAGTAAGACTTTATAGCACAAAAACCATTATTATTTAAAAAAAAAAAAAATGAAAATTCCAGTGTTTCTGTCTTTTTGTCTGTTTACTCTCAATTTCTGACGAAGCTTTAATAAAAGAGAAACATGTTCGATTGATAAACATTTAATATTTGTTCTTTATCTATGTCAGATTCTAATTCATATTTGATCTGCATTTGATCTTTAACACACACACACACACTTATATATAATATCTATATATTAATATATATATATATATATATATATATATTAATTACATATATATATATATATATATATATATATATATATATATATATTTCCTATAGTGATTTTCCACATGTAGCTTAGATGTGGCACAAGGCCAAAGTATGTGGCACCTTGAACTTCAGTCGTAATTGTTCTACCGAGACAAGCTTGCTAACCATTACACCGCCACAAGGTGCTCAATCCTATCTCCTATATTCTGGCTAATTACCTCATTGAAGTTAAGCAACTTTGAGCTTGGTCAGTACCCAGATAGGTGACTGCTTAGGAATACTAGGCAGCTTGGATGTGAAGGTGGTATGATGGCTTGAAATTTTTACTTGAAGAGCCAAGTCCCAATTTCAGTTACACTTTGGGTATGAATGTATCTCTTGTCCCCCATCTATGGGTTAATTAGTAAGACTTGTATCACTTAAACCGTTATTATCACAAAAAACAAAATAAATGAAATTGCATACAAAATATTTATGTTTTGGCATTAAACAACCCATAGAGGTTTTGATATGCCACCAAACAAAAACAGGCAACCTTCCAATAATCACCTCACAGATGAAGAAGAAACTGAAAGTGACTGAGATGTGATTCTGCTGGTGAATGTTAAGAATGCCATGAACAGAATCATGAGGAAAGTGAATTTATTCTGGGGGTACAATAAAAGACTAAATCTGACAGCAAGATCTTCTGACCCAAGAGGTTTTGAGAAATGGGTAACCACCTCTTAATTGCTGTTGTTCCCAGGTCTGCCCCGATCCAGGGTGGTAGCACCTGTTAGGATCCCAGCTATGGGCAAAATATGGCCAAATTGGGGACAGAATATGAAAATATAAAAATACATTAGAAAAAATTACCACCAAGACATTTTTGGAAAAGAACATACCAAAACTCACAAGAAAATAAAATTCTGGCATTAAATGACCCATAAAGTGTTGATATGCCATTAAACAAACCAATTCTTAAGGAAAATAGGAACTAAAAGGGAATGTATACATGTCCTTATGGAGTAGTTAATTTAATCGTCACTTGTGTACTGCAAACAAAATTCAGTATTAGCGAACCCAACAATATCTTAATTGCAATCATCCTAGCTGAGTAGAATGATACCTCTGAATACATGGTCAATCAGGGAGAGATTTTACTAACAGGAGGAGGGAAGGCCCTGAATTGTGATATGAATTTGAACAGCCATATCACAGTGAAACATTGGTTCTCATATGATTACTGAAGTTAAGCAACATTGAGCCTAATCAGTACCTAGATGGGTGATTGCTTGGGAATACCAGTTTAATGGAAAATGGCTCAGAATTTTAAATTGGAGAGCCAAGTTCAAATTCCAATCATCTTATTATATTCACTTAATTAGTAAAGTTCTTTGGATTCACTTTATGAGTAAGGTTCGTTATATTCACTTACCTGATTAGCAAGGTTCGTTATATTCACTTACCTGATTAGCAAGGTTCGTTGTATTCACTTACCTGATTAGCAAGGTTCGTTGTATTCACTTACCTGATTAGCAAGGTTCGTTATATTCACTTACCTGATTAGCAAAGTTCATTATATTCACTTACAAAGCATTATTACAATGTAAAAATGTTTTCTGGCTTTAAATAACCAGCAAAAGGTTGATAAGCTGTAAAAAAAAAAAAATAACAACAAATGATTTGAATTTTCAAACTGGTTTTTGTATGACAAGGTGCTTGTTAAGCTCTCATTATAATTGAAGATACAAGTGCCCTTTGATATCTAGCAAGCTATCAGACTTTGTCAAAGATCTGTCTGCATTTTCCTATCTTTACAAATGATATCTGTTCATCACTATCTCTGCTTCTAACCACACCTGTCTTGTTCTATCTAGGAGGGGATGCTGAAAATTGCTTGGTTTATCCTTCTCCCTCATCTGTATTTTGATGTTATTAAAAAATACTTTTTTTTTTGGCAGTTGGGCCAAGCTAACTTGATAGGTATTCATTTTAGTCTATATATATATATATATATATATATATATATATAATGTGCTGATTTCATTTTCTTTTTTAATATTGCTCTTGTTCTGAATCTGTCAAATTTAGGCACCTCAAAATGAATCAAAACAAGTCTAGTTGAAAGACCAGTTCCTGTATGATCACTGAAGTTAAGCAATGTCAGCCCTGAGCAATACCTAGATGGGTGACGGCTTGGGAATACCAGGTGCTGTAAGCTTGGATGTGCAGGTGGTGTAATGAATAATGGCTTAGAATTGTTAATTGGAGAGCCGAGTTTGAATTCCAGTAGGGTTCAATATGTCCACTTATGCAAAAATATTCTTGAGAAATGTAGGAATCTACCTCTTCTCCCCTAAACTATGGGTTAATTAGTAAGACTTGTATCACTAAATCATTATTATCTCAAAAAGAAAAAAGAAAAAAATATTTTCTGGCTTTAAATAACTTGCAAAGGGTTGATAAACCACAGAACAATGAAAAATCGAAGCTAGTTGACCATTAATACTGGGTAATATGCTTGTCCCTCATTAGATACCGTATGCAATATATAACATTAAATAACAAGGGTCTACATGTTATAAAATCAAGTAACCTAATTTGGGATGGGATAATGATTCATGAGGCTAGTTGGGTGGGGTCATTACTATTGAGTACTGAGTTTGATCCTCACTGTGTGCTCTATACAAAATTCAACATTAAATAACAAGGGTTTACATGCTATAAAATCAACTAACCTAATTTAGGGTGGGATAATGATTAATGAGGCTAGTTAGGTGTGGTCATTACTACTGAGTAGTCCTCACTGGGTACCCTATAGAAAATTTAACATTAAATAAGCCAGCAAGGGTTGACATGTAAAATCAGCCAACTCAAATTATCATGGGTTAGTGGTTAGCGAGTCTAGTTGTGTTGACTATTGCTACTGAGTAGTGACTTTGATTCTGACTGAGTGTCCTATAAAATTCAGCATTAATCAACTCAACAAAGCTCTATATATTACAATAGTATTTTATAATATTTTATAATGTTATAAAATCAAACAACTCACCTCATTATGAGCTTATGATTAAGAAGGTGAGTTTGGTTGATTATTATGACTGATTAGCTATACAAAAATAGAAAGGGGTGTGAGACAAGGATACTTCTTCTCCTCAGATTTATTCAGCCTCTACAGTGACACAATCATTTAACAATATAAGATTCATAGATGACATTGTTGATGAGGGACTTAGAAAGGAAACAACAGGACGTCCTGGACAGGGTTGTAAAAGAAAACTAGAAAAAAAATGACTGACCATCAACTGCAAAAAGATGGAAAATATGGTCATCAGCAAGAGGAAAAAAAAACCTCAGATGCAAGTTATGAATTGGACATATAAACATCAAGCAGGTGCAAAAATTTAAATATCTGGGAAGCATTTTAACAGAGGACGGAAAGTGTGACACTGAAATATGAAGGCGGATTGGAATAGCGAAAGATGCCTTTCAAAAGCTAAGCAAAGTATTAAGAAACAATAAAATATCTGGGAAGTGTTTTAACAGAGGATGGGAAATGCAACATCAACATCTGAACATGCATTGGACTAGCAAAAGAAGCATTCCAAAAATTAGGCAAGGTGATGAGAAACGGAAAGATTTTGTTAACGATCAAGCACTCTTTTCCTTGTTTCTATGGAGTATCTTTCTTCGTATATAGCAGTAAATGTTGGACATTTTCCACACAGATGAGATAAGGAGTTAAAATTAGAGGTAGCAGAAATGTGGTTCTACAGAAGGATTCTGAAAATTCCATGGACAGAGCAGGTAAGCACCAAGGAAATCTTAAAGAAAATGGCAACAGAAGAATCACATATACTGAAAATCAGGAAAAGGTAGCTGAAATTCCTTGGTCACATTGGATGAAGGATAACAAACTTGACCCCTACAGGGTATATTGAGGACAAGAGAGACAGGGAAAGGCAGAAAGCTACTTACCTGACAAGCTTGTGTGAATTGATCATGGAATGAAAGTTGGGAGGTGGCATAAGATCGAAAATTTCATATAGATGCTATGCATGGTATCAAAATTGTCGAGAAATATCTAAACCATCAATAATTCTTCTATGTACCATAGCCTTCAGGACATAAGCGTTCATGGCTATACACAACTTCCTATCTTGTATGACTCATAGCAGTTTTTTGCTCTTTGCTAAGGAGGTGGAATAACTACATTGAATCAATAGCTGAATATACTGCAAGTCAGCTCACTGTGTCTGCCAGAAGGTCTTTCTCATTAGCATCCAACTTACACATCTACAAATCTACCATTTGTCCATGATTGAATATTGTTACCATATCTGGTCTGATGATCCTGCTGTTCATCTTAAGGTTCTCAATAATATCCAAAGAAGGATCTGCAATGTTATCGATCCTGACATGGCATCTCAACTTCAGTTACTTTCTCATCGACATGATGTGGCTTCCCTCTCTTTTCTACAAATATTTTCATGGCAACTGTTCTGACGAGTTATCATCCCTGATGCCCCCGATTACAGGAATTTAAGTGTGCTACTAGATTGGCATCTAGGTCCCACCCACCCTTTTACAGTTGAAATAGTTAAATGTAACTGCCACTTCTACTCTAGCAGTTTCTTTTCTTTCACTTCCAGACAGTGGAACTCCCTTCCTCTTACTTGCTTCCCTGATAACTACAATCTTCAACCCTGTTCTTCTTTTGACCTTTCCTCAATCCCCACTGTACACAGTCTTTTTCCTCACTCTCTGTAACCCCCTGCATGCTAGTGACACTTGCGCATTGCTTGGGGTGAAATGCTTATAAAAAATTAAAAAAAAAAAAAAAATCTGCTATGAGATAGGAAGTTGTCAAGATCAATGGCCTTTCTTTCCTTTTTGGCAGGTTGAGGAGAAGACAAAGACAATTTCCTCTTGGTAGATACTGTCGGGGGTTGAAGGGCTGAAGAAAAAAAAATTCAAAGACACAAATAGACTAATGGGGTAGGGAGTGACTTGTACCGAAGCTGCCCTGACACTGAGCTTGAAATATGCAAAGGAATGCTAGTGATGCTGGGTTGCAAAGTGTTGTGTACCAAGCTGAGAAATACTCACGTTGCCAGATGTGGAGCTGTCATGGCCAGACATACCAATTTGTGGTCATAAATTTGAACAGATGTAAGTCACAGACGATCTGTACTTTATTTAAAATTGCTTGTCATTTTAACTTTATTTTTCTTTTTTTTGATTTCAGTACAATAAGCAACATATTATTCCATTGGATGGTGTAAAATTGGAAGACATCGAAGATGATGGAAGCAAGTATTCCTATTTTAATTATTTTGAAATTGCATTCCCCATCATCTGATGGTATTTTTAATGTTGGGAATGGATTTTTGCCATTGTGGGTAATATCTGATTTTGTTAATTTTGATCATCCATACTTCAGCTTTACTATGATATGCTTGTAAATTTAAGCAAGCTTTCATCACCTTTGGGCCAGGAAACCTAACTAAAAACCCACTGGTCCTGAGTTGGCACATTACAGGTACTTATTTTGAACAAATGTATTTTTTTAATGTATTTTAAGCAAAATGCAATATTTTTTTAAGCTTATGGCCATATCATATTGAAACACAAGTTCCAGTCCAATCACCAAAGTTAAGCAATATCAATCATGGTCAGTACCTAGATGGGGAATACCAGGTGCTGTGAAGTGTGGATGGTGCAATGGATAATGGCTCAGAATTGTTAATTGGAGAGCAGAGTTCCAATTCCGGTTGGGTTTGTTATATTCATTTACATGCAAATGCCCTTGGGAAAGGTACAAATCCACTTCTTCACTCCTACACATCTGTGGATTAATTAAGACTTGTATCACTAAGTAATTAATTTCTGAGAATCTAAAAAAGAAACTTTCTGGCTTTAAATAACTTGCAAAAAGTTGAAAAGCCATAGAAAACAAACAAAATTAATCAATATTTTTCAAAATCTATAGAAAGGTGAAAAGTTCAGGGTCTGCTTGGTGGTGGTTGCATGTTGTTAGTTTGGTTGTGGCTGTATTATATTTTTACAAGCCATTCCTCCCCCCTCCACATTGAGCCAGGTTAGAGAGATGAGCTGCTAAATTCTGGTTATCCAGATTTTTGGAGGTGCACCTATAAACTGTTGTATCATCTGCATAAATACTTGCTAAGTATTGGAGTATGCTCTTAGGCAAATCATTAATATACAGTAGAAAGAGGGTAGGACTGAGGAGGGGACCCTGAGAAATGCCAGCATTGATCTTAAAGAAATGGGGAGGATTTGCCCTTGTGTATGTGGCATGGTGTGTCCCAGTTGTAAAGTTCAGGTGTGGGCCGACCAAGGAATAACGCTTGTCAGAACACCTGCTGTGGAAGTATATGTTCTATATGGGGTTTGTGGTGAGCTTGAATTCCAATCGATATTCAAGGCAAAGAAGCCTCCTTGAGATAATACCCCTCTGTCATAATAGGTGAAAAGTTCAGGGTCTGCTCAGTGGTGATTGAACGTTATTATATTGTGACCATATTGAATTTTACATGCCACTCCTTTCCCCCATTGAGCCACCTGGGTTAGGTCAGAGGAAAGATAAGCTGCTGGGTTCTGGTCTTTTAGATTTTTGAAAGTGCACCTGTAAACTGTTGTATCATTTGCATAGATAGTCACTAAAGATTGGAATACGCTCTTATGTAGCACCTTTTTCCGCCAACACCCTGTAGTATAACCACACTTAGTGGTCTGGTCCTCAGGGTCTTAGGATTACACTTAACCACAGTCTAACTCTGGGCTGGTCAATGCAGACGTTGGTCAAAACTGGTTGCTGGCCACTTTGATCCACTCCGTCTCTGCTCACATTGTGTTTTTTTATCTCAGAGCAGCGGAAGAACAAATGTCATTGAAATGACAGTGCTGTTTCAAGCTGTAGCAGGTGCTATACTAAGGAAAAAAAAATATCTTTACAACATTATCTTTAATTCCAAGACTGGTGTGTGGCCTGGACAGTTCTTCGGTTTCACTGATTCTTTAATTTTCACATTAATTCTAATATGGGCTTTCTTTATTCCCAATTTATGTTTTCATAATCAACTTTCCAAATTTGGAGAATTATCCACCTTCCTTGGGCATAGTCATAGAGATTGCTCTTCCCTTAACTCCAACCTGCTTCATTTCACATCTCACACCAATACTCTGCACAGGCAGGGCTAAATTCTGCCCCTTCCTTCTTGGTATTTTAATTCTACCCACTTTTCAGGACAGCATAATTGTCTTTGTGACAAATCTAATTTTTAAAGTGTGTAGGAGAAAGGGTGTGGTTTATTCTCCTTATTAATTTCAATTCTCTGACTCCTCTTGCACAAACCAGATCACCTTCTTGGCATGACAGGATTAATCTTCATGACCTCAACCAAAGGGTTTGTTCCTTGTTTTCATCAATGAAAATATAATTCTTGTCTGCTTCTACTCTCTTTAATAAAAACAACAAAAAGATAAAGCCTATTCCCAAATTGCTCTACCTGCATGCCAAACTTTTGATTGACAAGAAAAATAAACAGTACACTGTTGCAATTTATAAGGGTGATACAATCCAGATGACCCTTTCTTCATTTCTACATTACCAGGTGGTATTCAAGTGAAGGAACATTAACATACGCATAGATGAAAGAAGAGAGGTTTATTGTAAAAGACTGAAAGACAGAGAATCAGGTGGCAGGCTAGTAATTCCAGAAGCAAGCCTCAGGTGTATCCTGTGCTGACTATATATAGCTACTAATATAGTCAGTCCACTGAGCTAATTTTCCCATGAAATTTTGCTCAATACCTCTTCTTTTTGGGGTCAGGACATAATTGTTTCACTTTTTCCTCTTCCTAGTACTTCTCTGTCTAACCAATTTTTGTGCTGGTGAGATTTGAGGCATTATCAGTTTTCGGGGAGCTGAAATTTCTGGCACTGGCGGGGTTGGCGATACTTCCACCAGTTCTGGTGTAGATATGGGAACTGGTATTTTGAATACATCATATATTACCTCCATTGATAATTCTTCACAAGGAGTGACATCTTTCGTACGTCTTGGCCATAACTGATTTAAATGTCTCTTACACTCAAATCTTCTTCCTTTGATCATGTATATCTTTCTGTCAAATCTTTCTGTCAAATCTTTCTGTCAAATCTTTCTGTCAAATCTTTCTGTCAAATCTTTTGGTGATAATTCCGTCTTCTCAGAAGCTTTTCCCACTTCTATAATTTCTGAAGAACACACTCTCTCCTGGTTTGTAAAATTTGGTTGCAAAGTTTTCCTTTTTTTACCACTCCTTTCATTGGACTAGGCAACAGCCTCTCAAACACTGACCGAATTTTTCTCGCAAACATCAGTTCGGCTGGTGATAGGCCTGAATCTATGTCCGGATTGGGAATAATTCTGTAAACCACTAAAAACTTTTGTATCCTCCTCTCATCAGTGTCCATGCCCTGATTCTTTCTTAGAGCTCTTTTAAACGTGTCCACAAATCTTTCTGCTTGACCATTTGATGATAAACAGAGGTCGTAATGTGGTCTGTGGACAAAGATGTGCAGAAATCTTTGAATTCTCTGCTGGTAAAGTGTGTCCCGTTATCACTAACTAAAGTTTTTGGTACACCGAAATGACTAAAAAGCTTGTTTAGTACACTCATAGTATTTGCAGGTGTCGGGTGTTTACACTTGAATATTTCTGTCTGCTTGGAGAAACTGTCCACGATTATAAGGTAGTAATAACCATTTATAGGTCCAGTGTAGTCGATGTGTAACCTTGTCCATGGGACATCCGTTTTAGGCCATGGCTGAATTTTTATTGGTGGTGCTTTTGCTGCAAGTTGACAACCTCTACACTCTTTTACCATTTTTTCAATAACCATTCTAGGCCAATACGTATAGCTACACATTAATGATTTCATTCTTGACATGCTCGGATGACTTATATGAAATTCGTTCAGGATTTTCTTTTGCAGTGTATATGGCATTACCACTCTATCTGCATAATAGCATTTGTTCACCCAATTGAAAAAGGTGATATTTTAAATCCCTTTTTAAGTTTTTCTTTAAGTCATACCTGTTTTTTTTTTTCTTCTTCTTCTTCTTTTTTTTTTTTATTATTTGTTTTTTTTTTTTTATGAATTCATCCTTCTCAGCTGCTTTTTTTAATATCTTCTAGAGTCATGGGTAACTCCTGAATTGTATTGCATAGTAATATTGATAATTCTTTTTTGTTCCTTAAAACAGCTATCACCATGGCTTTTAATGGTTCTGCAAATTCTGGAATCAATCTAGACAAACCATCAACCTGTCCTACTTTTCCCAAATTCCATTTTAAAGTCGTAGTTCAATAATATTATTCCTCAGCGCTGTAACCTATTAGCAATGTGCGTGGGTATACCCTTTCTTGATCCAAAAATTGTTAACAACGGTCTGTCTGTAATGTAAATTTCCTTCCATGGATGAAGCTGTAAAATTTTTTAACTGAGTAAATTATGGCCAAACTTTCTTGATCTGGCTATAACTTCTTTCTGCAGGAAGCAGGGTTCTGGATTTTGTAGTCCCATCTTCATAACTTGTGGAGAATTACCGATCTGATCCCATAGTTGCTAGCATCAGATACTACAATTATTTCTTTTTTTAGAGACAAAAAGTTCTAATGATAAATCTGATACCAGACACCTTTTTATTTTCTGGAAAGCTATCTTTGCTTTCTTTATACCAAATCCATTTTGCACCCTTCAGTCATTCAGTAGGGGCGGGGGGGTTCTCTAAAATTATACATTTTGGGAATGTAGATACTGTAATATTTGGCCAAGCCTAAAAACGTCTGAAGATTAGCAACATTTTGTGGTGGCATATTTTTAATAGCTTTGTCCCTTTCCAAGTTCAGTCTTCTTCAGTTCTCGTTGATTATTTGCCCCAAATATTTGATCTGCTTCATGAAGAATTTGCATTTATCTGAACTTAGCTTGAAGCCATATTCATCAATCTTCTGGAACACTGCCATGATATATTTTTTGTACTCTTTGTTTTCTCTCCTTATCAAGATGTCGTCTAGGTACGCTATGGCAAATTCTAGTCCAGCTAACATGATGGGAGCTGCTTTTAACCCAAATGGGAGATGATTTAACTTGTAGAGTCCCTTGTGTGTATTAATTGCTAATAACTTTAAGCACTCTTTGTCTACTTTCACTTGTAGATATGCATCAGACAGATCTCTTTTAGAAAACACTTTGACACCATTTAGCTTAGAAAAAATATCTTCTGGTGAAGGTAAAGGGT